CCAAAACAGTAGTATCTAGAAGAGTAATAATATTCAGTATGCACTGGTCCCTTCTTAAGGCATTCTTTTTTTTTTTTTTGAGACAGAGTCTCACTTTGTTGCCAGGCTAGAATGAGTGCCGTGGCATCAGCCTAGCTCACAGCAACCTCAAACTCCTGGGTTCAAGCGATCCTCCTGTCTCAGCCTCCTGAGTAGCTGGGACTACAGGCATGTGCCACCATGCCCAGCTCATTTTTTCTATATATATTAGTTAGCCAATTAATTTCTTTCTATTTATAGTAGAGACGGGGTCTTGCTCTTGCTCAAGCTGGTTTTGAATTCCTGACCTGGAGCAATCTGCCCACCTTGGCCTCCCAGAGTGCTAGGATTACAGGTGTGAGCCACCGTGCCCGGCCTTAAGGCATTCTTAAAGGACTTAATTATTTTTCCCTAAATAGCACAGTAATCATCTTCCACAGACTAAAAGTAAATGACTTTGGAGGCAGGGAACACTTTCCAATGGTCCAATGGGAAGGAGAGAGCTATGTGATCTAGGGTAGATAGAGAAAAATCCCTGAAGTGGAACTAAACATATACCAACATGTAGAAATCTAGGTAGAACAAAAACTGTTAAGTCTTAAAGAGAGAAAGGGAGCTATTTCCCAGGCAAGATATAATCAGCATACAGAGTATAAGAGGTATAAAGATATATAAATACCAAAATAATCAGGAGATAATGGGAAATAAAAACAAAGATGCATAAATTCTAAGTGATTACTTCCAGATTTATATTCTAGACCCTCTCCTCAGCTTCAAAGCCCTTTTATCTGCAATTGGCTAATGGAAATTCTTGCCTGGATATTCTATTGGCTTCCCAAACTCAGCACTGTCTGAACCTACATTTCCTCTCAAAGTACCCATCTCACTGTAGGCACTCTGCTGCTAGTCAGGTAAATTAAAATCTGAGGGCATCCTGCCTCTCCCTTCCCACCCTTTGTCCCCAGCCCCCATCCACTGCCTCCACTGCTACTGTTTTACATCCCACATTACTCTCTCCCAACGAGTGATCTTCCCACCTCCAATCCATGTCCACAATGCCAATGAGTGATTTATCAAGAACATTAATGAGATGGGGTGACTTGCTTAAAAAACACTCAGTGGCTCCCCACTGCCTAGCCAGGAAAGACTACCACAGCATTCAAGACTTTTCATGATCTGACGTTTAGAATGCATGTTCTTCAGGAAAAAATAAGGAACAAATGAGAAATTTCAAGGAGAGACTTCTGAAAACTAGGACAGTGAAGCCTATGTTGGGTTAGCAACATGTTAACACTACTGGTGGTGTGGCAGTGGTAGCCGGCCCTTGCCTCTTGGCTCCCGTTAGCCATTCACTGACATGCCCCAGCTCCTAGCTCTCCTTCTTGTTTGTTCCATAAACACTCTTGTTTCCCAATGTTAAGTCCCAGGTACTCTTCTCTTTTAACTCTAGTGAGTAGTCTCCCTTAGACAGTCTTCACTTATGGCATCTCTTCATTTTATTGCTAAAAGTATAAGAGCAAAATGTGTACTGTGTTACCAAATGGAACATGATCTGGAATGCATCTGTTTCATAGAATTTTTCAGTTCTGGGGTGTGTATCAGTAGGTAGTATGAGCTATCTGAGCTATACAAGTAATTTTACTACTTAGTTAGGACAATGGAAAGCACAGATTTCTTTTTTTCTCCAAAGTTTCCATCTGTTCCACATAAAAGAAACTTATTCAGAAATCAGTGAACTAGACTGTTTCTTCCTTAAAAAATATAAAACAGAAAAAGACTGATTTTTTTAAAAAGGTGGTCATAAAAATAATCTAAAGGTCTTATAATAGGAAAATGGTCAAGTAAATTGTACTAAAGTCAATTGATAGAATGCTACCTAGTTGTTAACAAACAAGATGGCAGGGAAAAATACAGAAATAGCAGGGTTGAATTTACATCTGCATAGGAAAAGGCTTCCTGGAAGGCTCACAGTGACAGCAATTGCCTTGGTAAAATGAGCATGGTCCAGGGTATGGCCCTCTGTTTGCAGTCTGGAAACCTAATTTTGTCAACATTCCAAAACTAGATTTCAGCTCTGCAACATAAGTTCATATTAAACAGTTAAGAAGACAAATTAAAAAAAAAGTGGAACATAAATTTTTCATTTACAATGAGGCATTAATTGCCAAAGAAACAATATTTGCAGCCTGTTCTCACCTTATAGGCAGTTCTACAACTAGGAAGCCAAATAACAAGCAAAGAGGTATTCGGTGAGCATTGAATCAGAACAAAGGGAGTTAGATGAACTGACTCTCCAACAATGATATAACAACAAATAGCGGGATGAGGCTATGCTAAGCCTGTTTGTTACAATCCTTTGTTTACGTCTTTATTAGAGATTGTACCTGACAATTCTACAGGAACACCAAGATACATTAGCTAAGGTTCTCATTCTTCCTGCAAACCATTTGGTAAAACTACCAATACTGCCTTAAAGTTTTCTTTTTCTAAGCTTCTAAAGCTAACCTATACATCTTCTCTATCACATTCTTTCTTTAGATATTTTATTAAGTTTAATCAACTTCCTCCCGGCTCTAATATACTGTGTGCTAATTTTAAATCAACAGAACCATGTAACACAATGTTAGGTGAGATAAAAATTAAATGTTCTTTTTGATTACAACTGTATAGTAAGACTATGGATTCTGGAGTATAGGTGAAATCATAGATTTGCCACTTCCTAAATGTGTGACATTGGGCAAGTTACTTTTCTTCTCTGGGCCTCAGTTTCCTCAACTGAAAAATGGGAATAAAATCAGTACCTTCCTCACATAGTTGTAATGAGATATATAAATATAAAGTCTAAAATGGAGTCTGACACAAAGTAAGCTCCCAATAAATATCAGCCTATAAATATATGTGAATATGTCTATACAAACACAATCATCAGATTTTAAGGAGCACAGAGAAAATAACTGGAGGGTAACACTCTAAAACTCTACTGGTGGTTATATGAAGTTTTTTTCTTACCATATTTCCAAATGTGATTAATATAATTTTAATAATAAAATAAACCAATAAACCAAGAAATCTATATCTATTCCCTTAGTAAAAATGTAATGGTGCACAGCATTATTAGGGATTGGGTAAAGAAGCATAAGTGCTGTTCTTTCATCATAAAACTGCTAATATAGCTTAAAGAAAAGGGTTAAAAATAAGACATACATAGACAAAACTATAAGAAAATGAAAAGGAGCCTAATGATATGACCTGAACACTCATATGGTGAATGAATAGGAGGAACAATCAGGTAAGGCTTCTTAAGGGAGACGATATGTGGACAGGAGGGGCAGAACTAAGAAAAATGGAACAGAGGCAGAAGTGGCAATGTGCAGGATAGTGGGCAATAGAAGGGGACCAGCACAGATGCTATGAAGGGATACATTATGCTGGGCCCAGAAGAGGCAAATGGTAGAGAGTCCTCAAAGACTTAAAGTGGGAGAAAACGTAAAACAAAAACAAAACACAGCTTTATAAAAATTAGCTACCACTATACCATGATGACCTTACCTGTGAGTAAAATTATGTCTCCGAGAAACACTGTAAGTGCCCAAAATGCTGTGGCCCTCCATAGAAAAACCTTCTTCTTAACTTCTGATTGATCAATTACTGTAATTGTTGCTAAAGGTACTTTAGAGCCAGAATTTGGTCCAGATTTTATGTTTATTTCTTTCACATGACATGGAGATAGCACCATGACTAAACAATTATACTTCTGACTTTTAGAATCACAATTTTTTATTAATGATGTTTTTTTAATACCCTTAAATCCAAGCACATTCCTCTGGTCCATTGCTACAGCAGAATCTCTTGCATTAGACATCAACTTCATTTTCTTAGATACTTGGAGGACTTTAGAGAGAGCTTTAGAATGGCCCAATTTATCTTCAGAGGCCCAGCTTCTTTTAGCAGCCCTTTTGTGAAAGGTATTTCGTTGGGAACACAGTATTCCTGAGCTACACAACTCAATATGTATCTCATTTGGTGGCAGTTTATCTTCAGAATTGAAAACTTCTTGAGATCCTGTATTTTCTTCAAGACCTTTATTTGAGTTTATGTGAATGTGGTTACTTTTTGTTTCGGGACAAACAGGACTAAAAAGTTCAAGGGAATATGCTTGGTTTTCTCCATTTTCATATCCTTCTGCAAAATCATCATTAGACTGAATTACATTATTTTCAATTGTTCTAATTTCCCCATGACTTCCCTTTGGTTCAATCCCCATGTTGACATTCCCTTTATTTACAGAATTCTGCCCTTTATCCTTCCTTTGAGCTAAAAAAGCCACCTGGCTAGAGGTCATTATACTGAGAAATTCAGTATCAGTAGATATTTTAAGGTTTGAAACATTCCTAACTGCTCCTTCAGACCTTGACTTATCTACAGGGTTCGAAGTAAAGAATTTGGGACACCAGTTTTGTATTTCATGATGTTTTGTTGACATACACTTTGTTTGTACTGCTCCAGGCCCTACATTAATTTGTTCAGTACTGCAGACCAAATCCAGTAGAGCTGCACACCTGTGATCTAACTGAAAGGAATCTGTTTGAAAGTTCTGACCATGTATACTAGGCTGCTCTTCAGGCTGTTTATCCATGACCCTCTTATTTTCACTGAGAAGCTTTTGATGTTTTTCTTCTTTGGTTAAATGCTGAACTCTGCCTTTAAATCCACATATTTGCACATCAGAGTTAGTTACATCACTCAGTCCTAAGGGGTGAGTCTTCTGGGAATTTATATTCTGTGTTTCAGAAATAGAATGTATAAAGTCATCTTTCACATGAACAGATCTATTCATAGCATTTGCTAAAAAATGGCCACTAAGAAGATCTGGAGGGCCAATAGATTCCGGGACTTGATAGCTTTCAAGATTTTTGTGCTCATGTTTTTCATCCTTCAGACATAAAGAATGTTGATTGTACAAAAGCTGAATTTCCTTCCAGGGGCCAGCAGTGGCCATTAAAGAAGCTGTGTCCTGTGATACCGTCATTTTCAGAGGACTAATTGGAGCACCCCAAAAAATGTGGACTTGAGATCCTCCATTCATGATTTCTGATTAAAATGAAAAATCTAAAATTAATATTTTGTCAGATTTCTATATATTGATATTAATTTAATAACATGCCAAAAAACAATATAATATAAACTATGAACCAAAACATTATAATATACGGTTTTATTTGGTATTGCATTTAATTATAAAATTCATAAATGCACAGGGAATTGTTAAGGAGAAATCAAAATATTCACAAAAATATTTCACCTAAAGATTCTCTTCAGCCGGGCGCAGTGACTCATGCCTGTAATCCTAGCACTCTGGGAGGCCGAGGTGGGAGGACTGCTTGAGCTCAGGAGTTCAAGGCCAGCCTGAGCAAAAGCGAGACCCCATCTCTACTAAAAATAGAAATTAGCCAGTCAACTAAAAATACAAACAAAAACTTTTCTGGGCTTGGTGGCTCGCTCCTGTAGTCCCAGCTACTTGAGAGGCTGAGACAGAAGGATCGCTTGAGCCCAGGAGTTTGAGGTTGCTGTAGCTAGGCTGACGCTGCGGCACTCACGCTAGCCCGGGCAAAAAAACAAGACTGTTTCAAGAAAAAAAAAAAAGATTCTCTTTAAGGGAAATAAAGTTAATCATACTAATATCCAACAAGTAAATAAATTATTAGTATATTCATTTCTTATGTTGTAAAAACTTGCTCCATTTAAATAACAAGTTAATAAAGAAGGGAGAAATAGGCATTTATTTAATTGTATTATAGTTACCTTTAAATTAACCATTTTCCTTACACCATAGATTATCTCTGGAAATTCAGGGCTTCTTTCCTTCAACTATGAACTTGATTCCCAAGACCAAACCAGAAGACAAAGAAAATTAAAAACTGAGGCTTTCTTCAAAATGCACAAGTGACAATGTACTACCAATCTTCACTCTAATCTGTTAGGACAATCAATAATTGCTTCTATATTTTTAAATCTTCTCTAACAAATAGATTAATAAGAGTCATTTTGTAATACATGGATAAAAGAGAAACTCATTGCAATTTAAACTTTTTTCATTAATTGTGGTGCTTGATATAAGCAAATCTAAGTAAGCATCACATTCACTAGGATAAACATAAAGAATCATACAACTATTTACTAACAATAACTTTCTTTTTTCTTTTTTTGAGACAAGAGTCTCACTCTGTCGCCCAAGCTAGAGTGCTGTGGCATCAGCCTAGCTCACAGCAACCTCAAACTCCTGGGCTCAAGTGATCCTTCTGCCTCAGCCTCCCAAGTAACTAGGACTACAGGTGCCACACTTGGCTAAGTTTTTCTAATTTTTTAGTAGAGACAGGGTCTCACTTTTGCTCAGGCTGGTCTCAAACCCCTGACCTCAAACAATCCTACAACCTTGGCCTCCCAGAGTGCTTAGGATTACAGGCATAAGCCACTGCGCCCAGCCAACAATAACTAACTTTCAGTAAGCATTTACCAAATAGATCTATTCCTAGAATTCATTAAAAATTTTTTTACAGGGGCAAAAAGACAGATAAGGATCTTGGCTAAGGGAACTGTTCATCTGGTTTTTCAAAAAACCAAAAAGAAGAAAAAAATAGTGAATATAAACTAATAGTTTCAAAATAATGTAATCAGCACTATAAGCTATAAACAGGAAACAATAATGATCTACTAGGGAAGAATGCTACTACAGAAAACAGGCACTGTGGCCAAGAAAATTTCAAACAAAAGAAATAGGATCTGTAAGAGGTGGAGTAATGAAAAGACCTTGTTATGATTAAGGACTTTTGGTTGGAGTACAGGGTTTTGTGTAAAAAGGTAAGAAGGTAAACTATGATCCACAGCCACTCTTATCATTCCTTGACCTGGCCTCTTGGTTCCTTGACCTCTCCTCCTCCATGGATTTTATCTTCCACCTGACCTCAGTCATCCATTCCCATAATCATACCATTATCAATGGTATGACTGATACCTCATTTCAGTATTAACTTTTCAACTATTTTCTCCTACCTTCCAGCTTCCTCTAGAACCACGACTCCGACGACACTTTGACACATGGGACCTACAATGAATGCACTGATCATACCACATTTTAATAGCCTCATTCTTCACTTCCCTCTTTAACCAGCTTAGGTGTTATGGTGCATTATTATGACCACTCCCTATCATACATCTCTAACTCTACTGTTCTGCCCTCCAACATAATATGCAGTTAACTTCAAACACTGGTTGAATAATCACCTACCTTGCACCTGTATCCAAATGGCTGGAAATAACTAGAGAAAAAAATACACAATTATCTAAAAACAATTCTCAATTTAAATTCATAACCATTAACCTCAAAGTGAAGCCAAGGAATCCTATCCCTCTCGATCATTCTTCCCATTCACTCTCCAAGATAACTCCTTTATGCCTTTTCACTCTTTAAATCTCCAGCTTGTCCTCCCCTATCCTCACCATGGAGGTGACCACGCTACCTATTTCCATCTGCAAGCTCTCAGCAACACACCTGCCAACCCACCTCTAGGGGATCCATATATTCTGCCTACATTCCTGTTACTATGGATGAACTGTCCATGCTTCTGTACAAAGCCATCTCCTCCTCGCTTAGGAATCAGATGTCATTCCTGCTTCCCTACTCGGGCTCTAGTAATTCTCCCCTTCTCTGCCACATCATGGGTTTCTCTCTGTAATGGAGCACCTTCATCAACATGCACACATGCCACTATTTTTCCTATGCTGTTATTCATCTCCTATCCCTCTCTACCTATTGAACCATTTTTCTGCTTCCCTCTATAGCAAAATTCCTTGACACAATTATCTATAGTCCCTTCTGCTCTTGTTCTCTCATAAACCAACTCCATCAAACTTTTGTCCAAACCACTCAGCAGAAACAGCTTATTTCCAGGTCCCCAGTGACCTGCACATTGCCATCAGTCAGCTCTCCATTTTCAGCTTACCTGGCCCATCAGGAGCATTTGACACCCCGGATTCCTTCTTGAAACACTCTTTTCATGTGGCTTTAGGGATATCAGATCCTCTTGATTCTAGTCCTCCTCAAACTACCTCACCAGTTGCTCCTTCTCAGTCTCCTTTGCTAGCTTCTCCTCATCTCCTCAGCTTCTCACTCAAGGGCCCAGTACTTGGTTCTCTCCCTGCACTCAACTTCATTCAGTATGAGGGCTCTGAATATTTCTGTACACCAATAACTACCACATGTCTATCTCCATGATAGCCTCTCATCTGAACTCCTGACTCCTTAGCCAACTTTTTTTTTTTTTTTTTTTTTTTTTTTTTTGAGACAGAGTCTCACTTTGTTGCCCTGGCTAGAGTGAGTGCCATGGCGTCAGCCTAGCTCACAGCAACCTCCAACTCCTGAGCTCACACAATCCTCCTGCCTCAGCCTCCCAAGTAGCTGGGACTACAGGCATGCACTACCATGCTCGGCTAATTTTTTGTATATTTATTTTTAGTTGGTCAATTAATTTCTTTCTATTTTTAGTAAAGATGGGGTCTCGCTCAGGCTGGTTTCAAACTCCTGACCTCTAGCAATCTGCCTGCCTCGGCCTCCCAGTGTGCTAGGATTACAGGCATGAGCCACCACACCCGGCCTTAGCCAACTTTCTATGTACTCCTAATCTCTACAAGATGTCTAATAGGCACCCATATAGAAAAGAGTTAACATAGCTGGCCTGAAATTAATATCTTTAAAAAGTCCTGCTTGTAAGGTGGGCCCCTTGGCTGGTGTCTGTGAATTTAGATTTCAGGAAGATTCCAACCATTCCTTGATAAGAATGGTTCACTGTGCCTAAAGTATTTATATAAACAATGCAGTTAATGCTGCATACTGGCTTTAATTCTAGAAATACAGAATTTTGGTATGCACTAGGCAGAGGGTGGCCATGTGACTAGGACTCCTTAGAGAAATGGCTGATTACAGGTCTGGGGCAGAAATTGTACCAGATGAGCCGGAGGCATGTTATCACACCAGAAAGCAAGAAAACTGTCAAAAAACTACTAGGACTATGTCAGAACAACTCAGGAACAACTTTGAAGAGGCTCCCACTGGCCAAAGTTGAGCAATTTGGGCATCAATAAGTATAATAACTGTAATAAACTGGGACACATCAAACATGTTTAAATCCATGAGTTCATAAAGAAAACTAAAGCAAACTCATTCAATGGTCACCTTTGGAGGTTACTGAGAGACTAAATACAGTAACCGTTTTAAAAGCTAATGAATGACAGGAAGGAAAATTTATCCTGTCTTTTCTATACTAATAGCATAACAAGATGACCAACTATTTAATGAGAAGAAATATCTCTTTATAGAGGCATTCTGCTTATAAACAAAAAAGAATGACAGAATATCACCATTTTGAAACTTCTAACAGATTAGTGGATCTTTTAGGGAATGATCATTAATGACTGCTAACATTACAAAGACAGATGTTATAAGGGAGAGCAGAGGAAACCTGTAGATTGAGGCCAATTATAATGTATGGACCTAATTTAAATACTGATTTGAAAAAACAAATGTAAAAATATTATAAGACAATCAGAGAAATGGAAACCTTGACTAATATTCAATAACATTAAGGGATTGCTGTTATGTTTTAGTCGGATAATGTTATTGGGGTTGAAAGAGTTATATGCTAGAGATACATAATGAGTATCTGCAGATAGAATGGTATGACATTTCAGATTTCTTCATATAACAGGGAGGAGAGAAGGAGTGAGGGTATGGATAAAACAAGATTGGCTGTGTGTTGATAACCATTGAGGTGGGGTGATGGGACACACAGGGGTTCACTGCACTTATCAATCTATTTTTGTATATATTTGAAATACTCTATAATACAAGTCTTTTGTTTGTTTTAAGAAACACTGCTTCATACCCACAGGACTGGGGAAAGTTTTAAACAGTGTGACAACACCCAAGATTGGGGAACTCTTACCCTGCTGGTGGAAGAGTAAACTAGCATTATCACTTTAAAGAATGATTTAGCAAAACAGTGACGCTGAGGAT